CCCTCCCCCGTGATCTACCAGCATCAGCTCTGAGAGCTACGATCACCATCCACCTAATGGGCCCCCCTGCGCTAGATGTATCCTGTGTGGCCAGACCCCGCATGTATCGTCACAAGGACTTCCTCAAAGGCCTCCACAGGAAACATCTGATCTCATGATATACACAACTTAACCCTTTCTTTACCTATACTATGTGACCCCTATGTGAGATCCAGTATAATAAAACAAGAACCTCAAATCCATAAACCACATTAATTGCATGGAAAGTGATCCAATATGCTGCGCAGGGTCTGCAGTGTGAGTTGCTGGCAGGAGAGTCTGGTGCCCAGGTGACTAGAAAACAACATGGGAGGAGCTTACACTCTGCTGTATGAGCCAACCCGCGCGCTACGGTGAAAGAGAGAGCTGCAGATGCTGAGGAGAAGCATGGTGCATCCATGCAACCATTGTCTGCATCTCCAACCCCATGGAAGTTTGGCTTTGTGCACCATGAATGGCTACAAGGTTATTGGGATCACCTGTAGGAGCCGCACAAGAATCTCATCCACAATACGACCATGGAGCCGGTCACCGTGCTGCAGCCAACATTGCCACGCTGTGCCTTGCAAGTAGACTGGACAACTGGTGCTACTGTAGAGGAACTGGTCATCTCCACGCCAGCTGCTACAACCTCCATTGAGAGTACTTGCCTGTCACCCGCACCCTGCAAGCCAGGATATACTTGGGCTTCCCATGGCAGCGGTCGAAGCCTGTGATGCAGCATGCCGGAGAGCCACCCTGCCCGTGTCCAGGGGCGTATCTGCCGCGAGGCAAACAAGGCGTTTGCCTGGAGCGGCAGATTCGCTGAGGGCGGCACCGCGAGGGTTAATGACCTGGATGTGATGACGCGGACGTCGGCCTGGAGTGGACGGCGTGTGCAGACGGCGGGCGGCGTTGTTTTACGGTGAGTTTGTACCCGTGTCCATGAACAGACCGGGGCAGAGGGAGCGCAGAGGGTTCCCCTTGAAGGAGTCAGACTTTTAGTCCCCCTTGTACTTGGGGGAAGAGGACATGATGGAGACACTGGCGCTGGAAAGACTATGGACTGACGGGGACCCTAGGGTTGCCACCTGTCCAGGATTCACCTGGACAGTCCGGGTTTTGAATGCTGTGTTCGGGTTTCATGGCAGCAGAAACCCGGACACAAGATGTCAGGCAGACAGGGGCAACCAAAATTAAGATTGGGGCTACTGGCCCCCCACTAACAACAGTCTCAACTGTGATATTTACATATGAATGGGTGGTGCTAGTTACATATGAATAAGCCATGGCTCATTCTCCCCCCAAAAAATGTCCGCTCGTCGCTAGAGTCTTCGGGTTTCGCTTGAAGAAAAGGATGCAACCCTAGGGGACCCCGAGTCACATGAGTCACAGGCTAGCTCGCCTCTTGCTATCCCGGAGGTGCCTGAGCCCCCTGTTTAGGCCGATAATAGGAGAAGTGTTTACTGGTTCACTTCCAAGAAGTGTCATTTGTGAGGAGAACCAGAGCCAGGCCGCAGACATGTTTGTGAAGAAGTCCGTAGACTCTTGTGTGCCGCCAGGCTGCTGGAATCCTACAGAGCTGCCTAAACCTGCTCAGCTGCAAAGGATTGTGGAGAAGAGAATAGGCCAGGAGTCAGGCCAGGAGTATGGAATATATCACCATTATGGGCCAGAGGAGCTGGTGCATGAGAGATAGACTGGTAAAGGAGGAATGGCGTGACCTTGCCATAGTGGACTACCTTGCGTGCCTAAGCCCTACTGAAGGAAAGGCCTCTCGCCCACCTGCGTTGGTGAATATAACAGCTGCCCGTTTACCTGAGGACTATGGTCCACGCATCTACTCTGATATGGTCATCATGCAAAGGCCTGGGCACCGTGAAATGCTGTGCCACGTCACCACTGCGGATGAAGAGGGCAAGCGGCACCCCAAATATTACTGATAAGCCAAAAATCAGACTTATCCCGCAAAGATAAGAGTGCGCCTGCTGCCGTCTGCTCTCTTGTGTTCCCGTATGGCTGCAACAACACTATGACCCCAAATAAGATTTCTGGCCGACGTTTCTGGACTGCCATCACCACAGCTGGACTATTACTGTTTTCAATCGGCCCTCCACTCCCCTGAGCATGTGAGTGAAAGACGTTTTTCCAGGAACTGGGACTTCATGCTCTGTTAGTGTGTTAAGGAGATTTTTTTTTTGCAAGTGGTGCATGCTGGGGGAGGATATAAATATTTGGGGGGACCTTGCAGAAAGGTCTTTTGCCTCTTGGGCCGCGGTCAGGAGAGGAGGATGCATTAGCACTGCAGTATTTGCCTCCTGGGCCCATTGCCTGGGGAGAGGCCTAAGTCTTGGGGACTGACCTTGCTGGAGCATCCATGGGTGAAGTGTCCAGCTGAAGAGTGTCCTGGAGAACCTGGTACAATAGTGGACATTGCAGGAGGTCCTGTCTACTGACTCCAGAAGGTAATTGTGAGGAGCAGGTGGTATTTTATAGTCTGAAGAGTCCAGAGTGCTGGTCTTGGCTTGAAGGCTCTTATCCTTGTACTGGCTGTGATTGGAGGTCTGGAGCCATAGGGTAGCCTGTGCTCTAACCCCTCTCTCCGTGTGTTTTAAGCTTTCTAAAGTGACAGGCACCCAATTCCTTTCACTCCTCAAAAGAGTCAAGGATTTGGCACGAGGTATGACATTCTGGTCCACCCAGCTGTTTGGAGGACCCCATCCACCTCCCAGGGGTAAGGGGGTGCTATAAATGATTATAATGACTCTCGTCTTATTTACTAAGTCAATGTTTGTATTCTTTACTAAATCCCCATGATGACAGGAAAGCGTCTCACCTTTGTACAGGTTGTTACAATGTTACAGAGCAGAATCCTCCCACCTTCTTGGCTAAGCTTTCCTCTGGCCCTCCTCTGAGCTCTTTGACCTTCTCTCCGTATCTAGTGTTAGTTCCCTCACTGCCATCTGTCCATGAGTCCCCTACCAGAGAAAATGGCTCAGCCTCAGAATAACAAGTCTCCACCCGGATTCCATGCAGCTCATTTCTATGATTAGTTCTAAATGCGGCCGTACAAGAAAAAGAAAATTCCAACAGTTTCTGAAACACACCGAGGACCTGAAGATCCACATCCCAAAAAAATGTTTATTCCTTTTTAATATAAAGCGGCTGTAATATGAACCCGACATGGAGGAGCCGACCCAAATCACAGGCCAGTGCTGCTGTATCTGAGAATGCCGGGTGTCTGGCTGTCATTCTGCTTCAATGTAGTAAAAGCTGGACTCTAATTTTCTTTAAATAAGCCCTCCCCTCCCCCCCCTCCTTCCTGAGCCCTCCCACCATTTAATACACAGATCAGCCATAACATTATGACCTCCTGCTTATTATTGAGTAGGTCCCCCTTCTCATGACCCATCCAGGCATGGACCCCACTAGACCTCTGAAGGTGTGCTGTGGTATCTGGATGACCCCCCTAATATTAAGAAGGTCCCCCTCTTTCTGAGCCGTCCAGGCATAGACCCCACTAGACCTCTGAAGGTGTGCTGTGGTATCTGGATGACCCCCCTAATATTGGGTAGGTCCCCCTCTTCCTGACCCATCCAGGCATGGACCCCACTAGACCTCTGAAGGTGTGCTGTGGTATCTGGATGACCCCCCTAATATTGGGTAGGTCCCCTTCTTCCTGACCCAACCAGGCATGGGCCCCACTCGACCTCTGAAGGTGTGCTGTGGTATCTGGATGACCCCCCTAATATTGGGTAGGTCCCCCTCTTCCTGACCCATCCAGGCATGGGCCCCACTAGACCTCTGAAGGTGTGCTGTGGTATCTGGATGACCCCCCTAATATTGGGTAGGTCCCCCTCTTCCTGACCCAACCAGGCATGGGCCCCACTCGACCTCTGAAGGTGTGCTGTGGTATCTGGATGACCCCCCTAATATTGGGTAGGTCCCCCTCTTCCTGACCCAACCAGGCATGGGCCCCACTCGACCTCTGAAGGTGTGCTGTGGTATCTGGATGACCCCCCTAATATTGGGTAGGTCCCCCTCTTCCTGACCCAACCAGGCATGGGCCCCACTCGACCTCTGAAGGTGTGCTGTGGTATCTGGATGACCCCCCTAATATTGGGTAGGTCCCCCTCTTCCTGACCCAACCAGGCATGGGCCCCACTCGACCTCTGAAGGTGTGCTGTGGTATCAGGATGACCCCCTAATATTAAGAAGGTCCCCCTCTTCCCTAGCCGTCCAGGCATGGACCCCACTAGACCTCTGAAGGTGTGCTGTGGTATCTGGATGACACCCCTAATATTGAGTAGGTCCCCCTCTTCCTGACCCGTCCAGGCATGGACCCCACTAGACCTCTGAAGGTGTGCTGTGGTATCTGGATGACACCCCTAATATTGAGTAGGTCCCCCTCTTCCTGACCCGTCCAGGCATGGACCCCACTAGACCTCTGAAGGTGTGCTGTGGTATCTGGATGACACCCCTAATATTGAGTAGGTCCCCCTCTTCCTGACCCGTCCAGGCATGGACCCCACTAGACCTCTGAAGGTGTGCTGTGGTATCTGGATGACCCTGCTGTGTTAATTGTCTTTCATACACAGCAAACGTATTACTCGCCCACCCTCAGGGCGACATGGTGCTTCCTCAATGTGATCTCTTTGTCCCCGGAGGACTCTACAGTTCGTTGTGCTCTCCCCCCTCCTGCGACACCTTCCTGAGCTTCTCGTGGATAATTTTAACACACCAACTGGAATTGGTGAGAACTAAACAGCCTGAGGGGTAGATAATATAAATCCAGCCATGACCCGGGGGTAGCCCCAATCCAGGGACACATTGGTAGTGTTGGCCATGGACCACTCATGTTTTAGGAGGTGCGGGGAACTTGGGGTGCTGCTGTTGGGGTAGAAGATACCTTCTTGGGTGTTGGTATGGAGGCCCGATGCCCATTCCACTTGACCTGTACACATGGGTCGTTCTGCCTACACGGGACATTACACGGAGATGTGAAGAGAAGAATCCTCAATAAAACATTGATGGAAACTTTCTGTACTTTATTGTCTTCCATACACAGCAAACTTCTGAACCCGCCCACCCTCAGGGCGACATGGTGCTTCCTCAATGTGATCTCTACAGCTCGTTGTGCTCTCCCCCCTCCTGCGACACCTTCCTGAGCCTCTCGGGTAGAATGTCGGTCCAGAAGTGGAATTTTCTGTGTTTCAGTCTATGAGACGCTTTCTGCTGTATGTCAATCTGCAGATAATCTTCATCCTGGTCATACTGAGGCCACCAAACCAGGCCGGGTCCGTTCGGGTCACTGCGGAAAGAGGGAGGAAATTCCTTGAAGTAGATGTAAACCCAAATCACTAAAATCACATATAAGCCAAAAGTAATTTTCAATCTTTTTAGGTCTCTAGTCATGCATCCATGTTCAGTTACTTCCTGTTTATAGGGTGACAACATTTTGTGTTTCCCCCCCCCCCCCCCCACATGGAGCACAGGGCTCAGAAGTATGTTATGCATAGAGTACAGGGGTAAGGAGAATGAAATATATGAAGTGCAGGGGTCAGCTGTATGTAAAAATGTAATGCAGGGGTCAGTTGCATGTAACACATGGAGTGCAGGGGTCAGGAGTGTGTAACACAAGCAGTGCAGGGGTCAGGAGTGTGTAACACAAGCAGTGCAGGGGACAGGAGTGTGTAAGACATGGAGCACAGGGCTCAGAAGTATGTTATGCATAGAGTACAGGTGTAAGGAGAATTAAATATATGAAGTGCATGGGTCAGGCGTGAGCAAAGCACAAGGTTCAGGGGGCAAGAGTATGTAATGCATTAAGTGCAGAGGTCAGATGTATGTAACACATGAAATGCAGAGGTCAGGAGTGCATAACGCATGAGGTAAGGGGTCAGGAGTGCATAACGCATGAGGTAAGGGGTCAGGAGTGCATAGCACATCATCTCTCCCCGATTACAGCTCCCCCCTTCAGTACAGACCTCTCTTCCCCCTGCACCAGTACGGTACATAGACCCCCAGATAGCTGACCTACCAGACCTCAGATACAGGGCCAGGGCACAATAATTGGGGAACTCCTCCCCTTGGCTGTGACACTGACATAAGAGCCGAGGAGGAGTTTTGAAGAATGCTCCTCAGCTTTGTACACAGCCGCTGTATCTGAGGTGGCGGCTACAGTGTAAATAGCGCAATCGGAGAGAGAAGGGCGGTCACAGCAATGGGACCCCGGACACTCAGTGGCCCAGGTGCCTGGCGCCAGTGACACATCCAGGGACCCCTATTTCCCAGGAACAGACCCCTTAATACAGGGACTGTCCCCAGAAAACGGGGACGGATGGTAACCAAAGGTTAGAATGTCCGTCAGCATTTCATTGCTGTGTTCCCATAGAGGAGATTTTCTCCCATTTCCTGTCTTGGTGAGATAAGAACCGTCTGTGTTACAGCAAAGCTGCGCCAATCACATCTGGAGGAGGAGTCACCGCGACTTACCCCGTCCGAGCAAAGTTGGCCCAGTATCTCATGATGGTTCTGCTGAGCCGCTTCTCCTCTTCGGGGAAATTGTCTGGAGGATAAAACAGCAATTTAATTCTGCGTTCGCTGCCAAATACGAGCCGACAACCCCACCCCCCAGCGTACGTGATTTATAGAAGGCGCCGCCTCTGAGGAAGGGACCTCCGAACGCAAACACCAGATCATCGCCGTGATCGGCCTTCACCCACCGCGGCCTACTGTCCCCATACAAGGATGGACGGCGCTGGAATTCATAGAAGTAGACGGGGGATCCGGAATCTGAGGAGGACGATGGGGGACACACATGAGTCATTCGCTTACCTCAACCTGTCACTGACACCCCACTTTTATAGGACATGGTCAATTTAGATATAACCAGTGCTGAGCGGGGGTCCTTCTTTCTGACAGGAGACCATAAAGGGGTATCTGGTGCCTCACACCTCTGTGGTGTTTCGCCATCTTTAGTGCCGGGATGACAAACATGACGTCGCCTTGCAGATCTAAAAAGCGATCCCGGTTTTCCAGAGGGTCGTCCGTGTCCCCGAAGTACTCATCCAGCAACGTGTAATCCACCTCGGAGACCGCTCCCTGCACACACAGCAAAGACCAGGTCAGTAATTGATCAATTCCAGAAAATTTCCCAGCATGCTCTGCATTCCCTGCACGGTGGTACCCTTCCAGCATCGGTCACCCGCCACTGCAGAGGCTGCCATTCCCCCGAGGCAGAGCGTCCCATACCAGAGCTTTTAATAATTATTGATAGATATCAGTCACATTGCTACAAATTATTTTTAAAAAATGGTTTATTATACCTTTAGGCTAGGTTCACACCCGATGCAGTGCGTTCCGGCCCGATTCTGGCCAGAACGCACTGCGTCGCATTGTGGCCGGCTCACTTTTTTGTGGGGCAGGAGGGGGCGTGACGGGCCATTGAATTGAATAGCACCGTAGCCACGCCCTCCGGCCGCAATGCGTGTGCTTGCGTGGGTTTCCTCCGGCTACTCCGGTTTCCTCCCACACTCCAAAGACACACTGGAAGGTTAATTGGCTCCTCTCTAAGTTGGCCCTGTAAGTATGCATGTGAGATAGGGACCTTAGATTGTAAGCTCCTTGAGGGTAGGGACTGATGTGAACGTGCAACTATGTAAAGTGCTGCGTAAAATTGTCGGCGCTCTATAAATAAATGACAACAAAACAGGAAAGATCCAGTGTTAGTCTTGTGAGTCTCTTACCAGGAACATGGAACGGCTCAGCTCTGATTGGAGGGATTCCTTTGGCAGCCCGTCCATGAACTCCAAGTCCAAACTCTGTCCAGAAAAAACAAAGCCACCGTTACCACCGCGGCAATTCCCCCCATGGAGTCCCTTCTTCTCCTCTCCATCAGGGTACAAATCCCCTCGTAATCTTAGAATATGCGACTTACATCCCCATTTTTTATTTCTTTACTTGTAAAAGAAGACAGAAACGAAGGAAAGGCTGTTTGAGGTTTTTCTCCAATCACTCGCAGGGGCTCCACTGATGGTGGGAATCCTCTACAATGAATGTGTATTTCAGGTGGTGGGGCAGAGAATATTGTGTAGCCTTGGTCTACACGCAGAGCCGTAGCCAGCTCCTTTGGCACCCGAGGCAAGAACAAAAAATTGTGCCCCCCAACAATCGTGTGCGTTATGTGACGTCATGCGCCCCGCCTCCAGGATGGCGGAGCGCGTGCCCAGAATGCGCTGGAGGCCAAATCCAAAATAGCATAAAAATGTGTTTCATTTGACGAAACTAAAGAAAACATTTTTAGTTTCCGTTCATTTAGCCCGAAACAAATTTTTAGTCTTTGCATATGTCTAGTAGTGTGTGTGTGTGTGTGTGTGTGTGTGTGTGTGTTTCACTGTTGGGGGGGCTTCGGGAAAATATCAGGCGTCTAAACAGACCCCTGATATTTACCTTTTGAAATAGAAAAAGAGATTGAGGACACAGGGTCCTCTGCCCATACAGGTGGGGGAGAGCAGCAGTAGAAGCTGGAGCCTGTGCCGCTCCTCTTTTCCCTGCCGAGCCGTGGCTGCGTTGGCCGCCTGGCGCCCCTGTTGCCAATGGCGCCCTGTGCTCGTCTATGGCAACAGGTGCGAGGCTTGCCTGGCTGCGCCCCCTCTCAGCTGCGCCTGAGGCGAGTGCCTCACTCGCCCCATGGTAGCCACAGCCCTGGTCTACAGAGTAAAAGTCCACACTGGGCATTGAGGATGGAGCCCGGACTTCTCTGCAGAGATTCTATATTACATTATTAGATTATTAGATGCCGGTTATTCTCTTCCGGGTGGGATTTCACATCTATGGGTGGGTTTCCTACCTTTGGGATCATCCAGCCACATTCCTGCTCATTCACGCCGATCATAAATGGCACTTTGATGTTTTCTTTGGCGGCTAATATCTCCTGCGCGGGTTTCGGCAGGAAAACTCCGTCCACACAGGCCGGCAGTGGTAGGAATTTCTGCAGGGGTGTAACAAAGGTGAGCATGAAAGAGAACCTGTCGCCTAAAACCCAAGCTCCTCATTACACAGTGCCTTGTGTTCTATGAAGTCCACACAGGACAGGCTGGGTAGGAACATTGGCCTAATTGCTCCTCAGACCATAATAATATAATACCAGCAGCAATATAAAAGGAGGAGACGTTGGGGGTGACATAACATACCGAGGAGGAGATGATGGAGGAGATCTCTTGCTCAGACTTCTTAAGTAGACAGTCCACCACAGAGGACGGCTCACATCCCGACACATTAGCTACAAACTGCAATGGAAACCCAGAGAATTGGAGACGTCATTACCTTCCCATCCTCCATCTTTTATGTCTGCTGACACCCAGTGCTGGTGCCTTCCAAAAAATTAAACATTACCCAGAATTCTCTGCCCGGGACAGGGATCAGCATGGAGTGACAATGGAAGGAGTGCGGGGAAATGGAAAGCAGAATTTACTTACATCCCTGTAAAAAATGAGCTCCTCCGGCGAGCTGACCATCAGCCCCGGCATTATGGCCACTCCGCTCTGTGCGATGGCGCGATGGAACAAGCCCCTGGCCAGCGGAGACAGGACCTGAAATCACACAGACAGTTATAATGTTTTGGTATCTCCATTCCCACAGTGAGCGAGCTACACAGGGGAGGTCAGATATGCAGGGCAGCCATCAGGGGAGTACGGCCGATACTCATGTAAGGGGCCCGGGCAGCCTGGGGGGCCCGCCCGGGTCCCTTACATGTGAAGGGCGAGGAGGCGGAGGCCTGGCCCTAGCAGCGCAGGGCCCCAGCATTGCCGCTGCAGCGGCTTTGAGACAAGCTAGGGCCCCATCAGCGACACTGCTCGTCTGATGTCGGACTGGCCGGGGAAGTGACGTCACGTTCGTGATGAGACGTCACTTCTGGCTGGTCCAGCGGCAGACGAGGCCATGTGTGCAGGTAAGAGGAGCTAGGAAGGAAGGAAGGAAGGAAAGGAGGGAGGGATGCAGCACTGACCAGCACACCTGAGACCCCTTCAGAGCCCACCATAGACAGTCTCAGATAGACTGGGCAGCATCTATGGTGGGCTCTGCAGGGTCACTCTCAGGTGGGTCC